TGTGCCTCTCTGCTGCAAGAAACACCAAAACACTTCAAGATTTGGCTCCACCTCCTGGCTTGGAGGCCTTGAAGACAGCCAGAACCAACCACGGTTTTTCACCAGGATGCATGAAATGCACAAGCACAACAAGCTTGATCCCAAATTGCCTGCATCGTCTCAGCTGGCATGTCCATAGCCTGGGACGGCCATACTAACAGCAGTGAACACAGAGAACATAACTTATAATGTGAAACAGCAACAGCTGGAAACTCCAGTTCAAAGAAATTGTTTGGCTCGTACTATAGGAATGTACTGCGATGATGGATATACAGATGCCACAGGACAACAGCACAGATACATTCGGTGCGCCAAGTCAGAAAAGTGAAGGCAGCTGGTTCAGGCTGCATAACCCAGGGGCTCTCATGGTAGGAGAAGGAACTCTGTTTGTTTAGGAAACACCAGCGGTACACAGCTGGGGCCAGACCAGAAGTCCTCATGGACACACTGATTGCACACACAGGCTCCCCTTTCTTTCTCGCCATGCGTGTACCTGGAGGACAGCTCTCACTGCACACTGATCGAGGTGGCTATGGGGAGTAAAATAAATATCTGTTTTTTACACCACTTTAGACTGCTATAATGAGGTATCCATGGGCCAAAAAGTAGGTGTCACAAATCATAAATAACCTTTTTTAATGGAAAGTTCCAGAAGATTTTGTCTTCCTCAATCGTGAGTTCTTCTCCTTTGAAGGCTGATCTCTTAATCTCACCCACATTCTGAAGTTTAATTCTTCCATCAGGGAGCCATAGCCAGTTCATGATATCATATATTGGTAAGGCATCACCATTCTCATCAAATGACACTTCATCACCAAACGGTGTGGTGAAGTTGACTTTTCCCATGTAATACACAAGCTATGAATTACGTAATAAGGGACAGAGGAAAACCAAAGTGGACTTTAAAATAATTCTATATTACCATGGTGAACACAGTGATACCTAGTATTCAATTATCAATGTGCATACTACACTTGTGAACATATGAAGAGATTTATCTATTACTGACTTACTAATAATATTCACTACTATAAGCGGTAGGGGAAATCGTTCTGCTTGGCACCTTATGATTCATAACCTCATAGTTTTATATTTAATCCTGTACTCCAAATGGGGGTCGAGACCTGAATCAGGAGTTGCCAAAGCTTCATGGGGGGTTTATTTATAAAGTTTAGATTATTAACAGCCTCCTCCTGCATTGGAGTTCAAACAACCAAAGAGTTAAAAGGACAATGAGAAAGAAACAAAAATAAATTATGTATTATTGCAAAAACAACAACAACAACAACAAAAAACGCAACACAGAAAATTCTATAAAATATTTCTAAAAATATCAGGAAAACTAATTTCTGATGATACTCACAAGAAATAATCTGCTCAAAATTCATCCAAATCACTTGTTTTATATCAACGTCTTACAGTGGGTTCATTATTTAGGTTCACTGTACAGTTTATCAGTGGATCTATACTGTTATTATTGTATATAAAATGAAATATCCCAAAAATATGTCACTGAGTCAGGGGTCGTCAGTTTACTCAATGATAGGAAAGGAGTCTCTTAATGACAAAGGTTGGGAACCACTTAACTAAAGCATGATTTAGTGTAAACCTGATACCTGCCATGGCTCCAGTCTTTGCAAACTGCCACAGCTGTGCCCGCTGAAAGGCCCTCTCCCTGGCTCACACCGCAGCATGTCATCAAGGGCATAGGCCAGAGCATACACAGCCTTGTACACATTATACTCTGGCCTGAGGTTTGAAATGTCCAAATACTTAGTCTCCATATCTTCTAGATCTTCCTGTCCAGTGCATAATACTCCCCCACCTTCCACCCAACCTGCTGGAGTCGGTGCAAATCTACACTGAAATGAGTATTCCCAAAACTCTTTTACCTGAAATGCATAAAAAATGCATGTTATCAGAAAAAATATTCCATCAATTTGTCTTTAAATTGTAAGGTTAAACGTTCACCATGCTATTTCCGTTGCTGTTGTTGTGGTGTTGGTCAGGACGTATTTGTAAAAGGAATTCCCGGAGTCCTGGTATTTCTCCTCGACGGATGGCGATGCCCAGTGTGCCAGCCAGGTATGGCATAAGGTGGGGGGTCTGGAACACAGTAGCTGCTGTCCAAGCTTCACTGGCAATCCACTGCAGGCCTGTCACATTCTGCCTCACCACCTGTGCATTATACTTAATGTATGAATACATACTGCCATGCAACTAAAGTAGTGTCTTATGTTTACACAGTATAACGGTTTACACTGTCTTACTCATTTATGAACAGGTGCAATCCTGTGTTTTACACAGTATTATGATCAAAGAGATGCACATCAATATACATGGAGTTCAGAGTAATTGGTTTGAGCAAGTGATTTAAATCTATTTTTACAGGTCAATATGTGATTGTAACTTAAATCCTTCAGTGTGATGAATAAAAAAATTTGTAGTATAATTAAATTAAGTGATATTTTAAAAGCCAACCTCTTCCATGAGGTTAATCATGTGATTCTCATGTGCAAACGCAATGACTACACGAGCTGTGGACTTTTTCATCACATTCACAATCCTCCTTAGTTCAGCTGGGTCACGGCCCCAGGGCAAAACTTCTAAGAAGGCCAGACAGCCTCTACCAGAGTGAACAAAGTCAGATTGGAAGGATCGAGCGGCGTGGAATCCATAGTCATCATCACCGATCAGCAGACCTGCCCAAGTCCAGCCAAAGCGTTTTAAAATCTGAATCATAGCACGCACCTGAGTAAAAACAGAGTTGAGAGATTAGTTCACATACAGGCTGGAATAATCTCTCCGTAAAATCTGATAAACTGGTTCATGTTTAATTATTGAAAAAAATATATGTTTTTCATTGCAGTGAAGTGTTGTTATTTCTGAGGAGTGTTTAATTTCACATGCTTTCTGAATTTTCATTTTGCTGATAGATGGTCACCTGGAAAGCATCACTTGGGATCGTCCTAAAGAAGGATGGAAACTTTTGCCGGTCACTCAGGCAGGAACATGTGGCAAAATAACTCACCTGTGAGAGAGACAGACTGTACATCCTAAAAACATTCAAGGCCTTTTCCAGCTCTTTTAACTCTTTACAGTTCATTACTCCATGTTTACAAATGACATTAAATTTAAAATTAAATCAGTATTATCCAAAAGCACTGTTAGATGGCAAGGCGGAAAACTTACCATGGGTACTCTGTACAAACCTAAGACAGTGGAGATGGCAATAGAACGTGTAGAGGAAGAATCACCCACAATCCCTAGGACTGGAGGGGTTCCTACACATGTCTCATCTAATATGAACTGCTCCTCTTGACCACTGACTAACGACAATGCTGCACGGAATCCAATCCCTAGATGACACATTATATAAAGACTGTATCCAGAGTCACAATTAACGAACAGGATTGGGTTGGTCAGTTTGATCATCATTCAAGGACACAAAATGGAGCCATTGTGTCTGGACCTGCTGAATACTAAAACATCAAAAAAACTAACAGAAAGAAATACAAACTTTTACTAATTTAAAATACAACACAACATGTACTGTTACACAACTACTGTTGCAACCAATATAAGAAAGTTGAAAAGAAACAATATTATAATCTTAATTTAAACGGTGCAAAACATGTTTTTTTTTATTACTTTTTTTTCTTTAGTTATCCCTGCTTTCCCTGACAGACTCACCCATGGCAGGTAGGCTGTTGTGGCTCTGAGGTAAAAGACAGGTCAGGAAAGACAGAAAAAAAGTTGATCTCAAACAGCCCACCGAGAACCACATCGCCAGCCTTGTGCATCCCACTTAAATGAAACTGTTCCTGTAACCGGCAGGAGGAGGAGGAATAAAGAGGGGAGGACACAGCAGAAGAAATGTAGGAATACAACAAAATGAAATACATAAGCAAGGACAAGTTGATTACTAAACATGTCCACATGGCTTTCCTCCTGTTTAGCCTTTTCCTGAGCCCAGTCAGTTTTATTGCTATCACAGCCCCTTTTATTAGTTAGTAGTGTTGTCATCAGGGCAAAGACAGGGGTCAAAAAGGGGCAGGGCCTTAAATGCATTTGAGATTCATTTTGTATTGAGGCAGAGTTGATTAGTGCACTTTTAATGACATACATACCTAATGTGAATGTCAAATTAAATTGACATTGATGTGTAAGTTATATTATAACGTAGACTGTTTTACCTCACCTGAAAACATCAAGTTGCATTGTTGAAAGTTTTCTTCAGAATCACTGTGCAGTTTAAAACCTGAGCAGAGTTTGTACCAAATGAAACTCACCAAATGCACAAATCAGCCCTGAGAATGTGGATTTAACTATTACACATTAACACAGTTTGTGCAATTCAGGCTAACATATTATAGCTCTAATGCTTTTATTTAATTTCATAGATTACTGTTTGTTTTTTTTGTAGTCCACATGGAGCGAAGCCTGTGAGCTA